AACACTTATGGGAACCGTCCATCTACTTCATTATGAAGGAATGGATTTCATCTTGTAAATTAATATTCCCGGCTATTTATTTTACTATGCTCCCAATATACCAAGACTTTGACACTATTCACATGTGTTGTTACTCAATATGTCAAAGAACATAATATCATAAATAGGAGTTTATTAATTACTCATAATTAAGATTAATTCATATATGACCATCATTGATTAATATTGAATACTTTATTTAATAACAGAATTTATTAGAGACTCATAATTGATCGCGTTCCGGTCCTATGTAATCATATTACATAAAATTCTTTCATTCCAATAATCTCATTATTAACAATCTAGGATAAGATTGTTTCATTCAGAATGTAATGAACCGCATTAGTAATTTAAATTAAAGATCCTAACTTTAATTTATAATTACGGACAAGTTTAGATTATTTTATTTCAAACATTATCCTCTGCACATAACAATTATATACAATGTTTAAAGTTACATCTAAAAATAATCTATGGATTTTGATATTTATAAAACATCACATGTATGCAAAACAATATTGAAAAAATTCCTCATTTCATTGATAATCAGTAAAATATTTACATCTTATTTTATTTATGGGCATATATCACAACATTAACTATCCAAACTCTCTACTTTAGCTCAAATATGAAAATTTTTAAACAAGCTTAAAACATAGTCCAAAAAACATAAAATGAAATGCAATTTTTTTTTTGTTACTTCTTTTGCAAGCTAAATATAGAAGATTTTACGATCAGATATGATTCATGCAGAAATAATAGTAATAGTAATTTCGAATGGTTAAATCACATCATAATCATATTAAAATTAAAAGAGTTTCTCTCGTAGGATCAGGAAAATAGAACTACTCATAGTTCTATTTTTTCAGCTGTTTTTAGTCGTCAGATTTGTATCAGAACTATTTATTCTGTATATTTTTTCAATATTATTTAATTTTAATCAAATTTAATAATTAAAAATTTGATCATGCTAATAAAACGCATACAAGAGATCGTCTCCTAAATTTAATATAAATAAAAGGGGGAAAATCATACTCTACTATAAAAATCTCGTTATTTTATTGCTTGTGATTTTTCTCCCACTTTTAGAAAGCTATTCCTAAATTTCCTCTCTCTCTCTCTCTCTCTCTCCCTCTCTATCTTTCCTATTCAAAAGTGTTTGGGCTTGGGCTTTTCTAAATATTGGGCCAATCCAAACCTGCACATAACAAACAAAGGCCCTCCATCCATTCTTACGGTAGAGCCTGTAACAGGGGAGAATCCCCCAATCAGATAACGTATATAAGTGAGAGGCCAGGAAAGAAACTACACCAAACGAGATTAACTTCCACTTTTATTATTAGTTTTCTTCACTCACACTCACAGCCATGGTGGTTGTGACCTCCACAAGCTCCCAAATCTTCAACCCCACCAGTTCTTCTCTCAAGAGCACACTTCTTCTGAAACCCATTTCACCTTCTCTCCTTTTTCTCCGCCATATCTATGGCAACTGCTCTTGGAGACCCAAATTAGCAGAGAAGCAGTACTGCAATGGGGTCGTCTTGCCGGTCAGATCTTACATGGAGAATCCCAACTCCTTCTCCAGCTTCGCCAACAAAGTCATCGGTGCGCTTCCCGTTATCGGCCTCGTCGTCAGGATTATAAGCAACGAAGGCGGCGTCGGAACCGACATTATTGATTTTGCAGAGTTTCGGAGGAGAGTAGGGAATAAGTGTACTCCTTCGGATTCTAGAGCTTTCTACGAGTTCCAAGATCGACGGGGCCGGGTAATTAAATTCTTGGTTTGACAATTTAGACTTGAGAATATTGGAAAATTTTTAGATTTTGAAGTGGAATATTGATAGTTATATAGGAACTCAAATTTGACCTCACCAAAGTTGATCTCTCGTGAGTGAAAGTAAAAATAATTGCGGAAAAAAGTAATGAAGATGGAGAATTTAGAGTGTTTCATCCTCCATTGAGAGTTATGTCCGCTATCTATAATGCAAAAGGTACACAAGATGCCTTAATTTTCAGTTTTATAGTTGACGGAGTTCTCATGTCGAGATTGAACTACTTAAATTCTGTGTGTTCTTTATTTTTTGCAATTGTTATTACTGTTCATTTGTGAGATATCAATGTTGATGAGGTCACGCGTGAGTTTATTTTATTTGGCGATTTTCAACTGTTAACAATTTGTGCTAGAAGGAGGTCTCGAAACTCTGAACATCAATTTTTCAGGAAAGAACTTCAAGAACTCATGTGATTTCTAATTACATGGTGAATTATGGGTAAACTATGGTGTTTGACTAGAGTTTTCATTGTGGTTAGGCCGGGGATCCTTTGTATGTCCTGATATGCTGTTGGCTAGCAGCCGTTGGTGCTGGTCTTCTCAAATCCGAGGAGATTTTGGAAGGGGCTGCGAGGCTGCGGATTTCGAACGATATTGAATTTGAGGAGGAGACTTTCCTAGCCATGATGAATGAAGCCAGAGAGGTTGGTTTTCTTACTTATTGTCTCATATGTTTCTAGATCCATTTTTAGACCCTTCTCATTGAAAGATTGCTGATCTACTTGTTTTGGAAATATCGAAATGATCATTAGTAATCCATGCCACGCTTTGTAAATTGCAAATCCGTGTCAATAGTATCTGAAAGTGGCGATTCTTGTCCATCAAGAGCATTTATATACACGATGAAAAAATGCTATCATAAACGTCACAAAACAAATGTATTTGTATAATTTAGTCATGAGAATCTTTCCTACAATCACTTCTGATTGAGAATTACAATGTTCGATGTTGTAGAAACGGGCAAAGTTAAAAGCTGCCCCACCATCCATCCCTATGGAGGTTCGCATTGAGAAAGCGCTTGAGGCAATTTACGTTTGTTGCTTTGGCAAGGACCGCATAGAGGAAGAAGACGAGAATCTTCTAAACGTCATGCTTTCTGCAGTTTTCCCAACCGTCGAGAAACCTGAGATAGAGAGGATAGTTAAAGACAAGGCCGAGAAAATAGCTCAAGGCGGCGAAATAAACGTTCCAGAGCCAAAGGCAATATCAAAAGAAGCTGTTGAGCTGCAAATGAAGGATCTCCAATTCCTTAAACAACAAAGAGATACTTAAATGTCAAGTCTGTACTGAATTGTTGCCCTATTCAAGATAATGGAATTTCATGGAATTTTCTGCCTTCTCCTCGTGTTTGTCTTGGCTTCGCTAAAAGAACTGGGATTAGGCTTTAGAACTTGGATTGTTCATGTCAGTTTAGCGTTGCACAGTCTTAAACAAGAGGGCAGGTAGACTGAGATTGCAATTAAGTTGACGATACATGATTTTGCTCATAAAAGAGGAAACTCATTTTAACAGCAATGTTTCACTTTCCTCTGGACCGCTGTTATCGTTCTTTCAAGATGAGGGTTATAAAAATATTGTCGTTTTAACGATTAATGTAGCTTTTGTGGTTTTGTAGTTTTTCTAAAATGTCGTCCTTTGACCACATAGTTGTTCCCTAAGATGTTATCGTTTCATGCATTCTCGTTATGTTACCGTTTGTCAAATTGTTTCAAACATTGTCGTTTCGAAGAAGTTTTTTGTTTGTCAGAGATTTGTTTTTGTAGATGTCGTCATATTTTAGGTAGCTGTCGTTTTTCGGATAATGTCAATGACAATCACGTTGTCGTTTCTACTTTTTAGTATATTGTCGTTTGTCCAATAATACCGTTTCCGTGTTTCTACGGTTTTGACATGTTTGTTACTGTAGTAAGAGTTCATAAAAGCATATAATGTAGATATATATATATATATATATATATATATAGAGAGAGAGAGAGAGAGAGAGAGTCATTTTCCACAATTGTCATCAAATAGTATTTCTCACAATTGCAAGTGAGAGTGCATAATCTCTATGCAAAACAAAGACTCGAGCATTTTAAACACAGACCAACGATCTTATACAACGCCAAGATAAAAGACTTTGGTTTACAGACAATGAAGTAAACATGATCCTCATAAAGTTCACTCTTATTCCTGATAACAACCCTCTGGACCTTCAAGAAAGCACACGATGCTAAAGGACCTTTCTGGCTTTTATTAGTGTCTCACTCTCAGCAGAGAAGAGACTGAAACAAAGTAGATTCAAGCTGATGGAAATCATCGGTACTGGCTCGCAAGTTCACCCTCCTTGACAATGTAGTTCTGGGCAGGAAAATCTTGTCCCTTGAAGTACCTGTCAAGCATATCCTTCACTCCAGCAGCATATCGTAACTAGACCCAAAAAAAAAAACAAAATAAAATTATAAAAATAATACATATATATATAAATTATACAAATATATATATATATAAAGTTAATTGATTTAAAACTGTACGAGTTCAAAACAATTTGAAAAAATGGAATTGGGAAAGTACCTGTGCATCAATAGTGGTGCCAGAGATATGAGGAGTCATGGCTTGGTTTGGCATGTAACGCCACGGATGGTCCTTTGGAGCTGGTTGTGGGTACCAAACATCACCACTGTAACCTGGAGAGTTCGAAATACTCGATATGAAACCATTGACCCAAGCTCAGACGGCTCACAGAAGTTTTTTTTGCGCACCTAATGGTGAGCATATTCTAGTTCCAAAAATGCACTATACATAAACTAAGTGAGGGAAAATGATAACTTGAAAGCGAAAGCATTTCTCCGTCGTTTAAAATCCCTTAAATTCTTGGCAAGCTTTTGAGTTACCTGCAATGTGTCCACTGGAGCAAGCATCGACAACTGCTTGTGTGTCCATGATTGCGCCTCGAGCATTGTTGACGAACAGGACTCCCCTCTTACACTTTGCAATTCTCTCTTTGTCAAACAAGCCTCTGCATGCCAAAAAAATCAATAGCCGAGTAAGTCTGACTCACATCAAAGTTGAAACGTTAAGACATCTTGTAAGTACGACAGATTCCACTACATTAGAGCGGCATCTAGCATTGTCTATTCTAAATGAAACTTAAGATTTAGCTCAACTCAACAGAACACAAAACAAATAGAGATGACTTTACTAAGAAAAACTATCTAATAACGCAATTGCAATATCAGGGTTCTTACTGCTGTTGAAGTATAAAACCATCTGAAATATTACCTCAGCACCAGCCACATAGTAGTAAAATTACCACAATTTTCATAATTGTTCATTGATTGGACACACAAGACTATGATACTCAAGTGGATAGTAAAAACTACCACAAACATCGATGAATACCTTGTCTTGTCTGTGAGAGGTGTGTTGATGACAACTACATCACATTTGGGAAGCATGGCATCAAGATCCTCCTCAAACTTGGCTCCTGTTTCCTTCTCAAATTCAGGGTCAATCCTGATCCTGTCGTGATACAGCAGGTTACAGTTGAAGGGCTTCAGCCTCTGAAGCAAGAGCCTGCCAATACGTCCAGCGCCAACGGTTCCCACCGTCTTTCCTTCCAGATCATAAGCTCTGTAAGCAATGCCAGCCACATTCCAATCCCCACTAATAACCTGATGATAGCCAGGCAAGAAGTTCCGGACGAGAATGAGGATTCGCATGAGCTCATCTTCCGCTACCGATACCACATTGCTTCCTGTGACCTCAGCAACTGTTAGCCCGGCAGCAGCAGCAGCATTCAGATCAACATGATCAGAACCAATCCCAGCTGTAAGAACCAGCTTCAAATTCTTCGCCCTTTGGATCCTCTCGGCCGTCACATAGGCAGGATGGAAAGGGGTAGTTATGAGAACTTCCAGATCAGGAATGTGTTTCTCAAGTTCTGTTAAGTAAAAAACCAAACGTTAAGAGTTTTGTTCTTGATGATATGTTTCAACAAAAAAGATCCAAGCTTTTTCACGTCGGATATTATGTGATACAAACCAGACTCTGGTCCTTCTTTGTCATCAGTGACAATGTAGTGATGGCCTTGTGATTCCAGCCAGTCACGTATGTGCAAAGCTCCCTCCACGCAACCCACAAAGTTGGGGTTCAGCTTGGCATACTCATTGGCCTTGTAGAACACTCCCACTATCTTTTTGCTGCCACCAGAACCCTATTCAATGACAGAAAAATATGTTACCATAGAGAATTACTAGACATACTAAGAAAAAAGGAAGACTTATAACCTCAAACCCAGTTCATTTCACCCCATTTCTGAATAAATAAAAAATTAAAATAGTCTTCATAGCTGCAATTTAGTAACCATGGTAAAGAAAAATACAAGGGTACTTGGCACTGTTAGTCCCTAAACTTTGAGCACAGTAACATTTTGGTCTCTGAACTTTTAATTCTGGCATATAAGTTTCTGAACTTTTCATTTTTGACAGTTTGGTCCGGGCATCGAAATTGATGAACATTTTATGAAATTTAACATAGAAAATCATATCGTTATCGCAAGATAACTGAAAATTTTACATAAATAGTTATAGTGAGTATAGAGTATTATAGTTTTCAATAAATTTTAATAGTAACAAAGAAAAAAAATTTCATATAACCTAACTCTTTTTGTACATTTTAAGTTATCATGCAACAGCCATGTGATTATATTTTTACACGTGATTATCGAAAGTTTAGGGGCTAATATATCTAAATTAAAAGTTCACGGATCAAAATGTCATTATGCTCAAAATTCAAGGACTAATAGTGCTAATAATTTAAAATACAAAGTTACAAATAATTCATCATAAATCCAACATTTCTATCTACAATCACCAAACAAAAAAGTGAAGCGCTGTCAGGTTTCAATTTGGAAGTTCATCACAAAATGAAAATGTTCTAGAGATTATACATAGACAGATAACATGCTCACTTTTTTCACTTTTCTATTTCATGTAAATGCTTTTTGTAAAAGAAAGGAAAAAAAAGAGAAAATTACATAATTTACTTTTAATAGTGAAAGATTTAAACTTTTATTTCTTACTCTTAAATACTCTTTTATTAGTATAATTATTTAACTAAAAATTTATAAATCAATAATAAAAAAGTAATCCTGACTATGCACTCTCATCGACATTGACAAAATTACGTTTAAAAAACAAAAAGAAAAGAAAGAAGAGCATGTGACGAATTTGGGCTTGATGTCACAATGATAGAACAAATGGGCTAAGCCCAGAAAACAGTTCCTAATGCCAACTGCTAGACCCCACAATCATCTTGATAATATTAGTCACGTGGCAGTCGACACATTCCACGTGTGATGTTCATGCGTTAATGATCATCAACATCATTAACGTCAATTTCACTCAAACCGCATCCAGACCGCCCACTGTTGGAAAACATCGACGATCAGAATCACCCAACAAAACCAAAACCAGATATCTTTTTAGCGATTCCCCAATCTTTAATTAAGCCCTCAAAAGAAACCCCAAAAAAAAAAAAAAAACAATTAAGTACTGTAAAGATGATCAGAAGGAAAGGATAATTTTAAGCGGCGATTAAATTTAGAATAATTCTAGTACTGAAGAAGCCGATCAGGTATATATATATATATACACATATATGTACATATGTATGTAGATAGTTGAAAACCAGAAGAGGTTTGAAGAAATCGCCTTACATGGAGGTGTCTAGTGAGAGTGGATGATACTCCTCCAGATGAAGAAAGAGCCTGAAATACAGACACGGCCACGCGCTTCATCGCCATCTCTTTCTTTCCCTATAGAGACTCAATTAGTCAATTGCATGTGTTTGAAAAAAGAGAGAAAATTTTGAATTGGGTTAAAAACTTTGGTGCTGATTTATAGGCCCCTTCTTGTATACTTGTCATGTATTTATACGCGATTGGCCAATTACTAGTTGCCAACTATTCTCCACTCTGTACTCAGTCATCAGAAAAGGAAAAACAAATAAAAGTAAAATATCCATTATCTGCTTTGTCCAAAACAGATCCATTATCTGCTTTGTCCAAAACAGACTTTTTCTTTAAAAAAAAAAATCAGAAAAGAATTGAACCGTTTATTTCACGCTTAATGATTTTCATTTATTAAAAGAACTTTTATAAAATAATTATTGGTGGAAAATATTTAAATTTAAAATTATTATGAAAAAAAAATACTGTAATAAAATTATAATTATAAATTTAAATATATTTATTGTTAGTGCATTTTATATTGACTTATTTTTTGTAAATTAGTTGTAAGATTAGTTGGCATTTTAATTTGATAGACCTCTTAAAGAAAGTCTTGTTGTCATGTTTATGGACTACAAATCAAATGATTTGATTACTGAAAATGAAGAGTGGACTTTTGAGAGAATTAATGGCTGGCAAATCTTCAAGCTTGAGGAGAATGTGGTGTGAGGACAAAGGGCTGAAAACAGAAAAATTTAGATAGGCACATGAGCAACTTTGCTATATATACATAAGTGGCATACGTGAGTTTTTGAGCTCTTTAAAAAAAATATTGGGTAATCAAATGATACATTTGGGGCATGGTTTTTATAGAAAAAATATTCAGAAAAAGTCTATGTGAGAGCAAGTCTTTATGTGTTGATTGAAGATCGTCCTTCGGAAGAAGGATTAGAAGCTTTCGGGAGAAAGCGCACTGCCAGCCGAAGGGATTTCACCGTGCAGTTTTGAAGACGAGTGGTGCTCGCTGAACAAGGCCATTAAAGAGATTCGACACTGCGGCGACAACGTCAAGGAGTGATTCTTTGGGTGTATAAGTCCGATTGGTGTGTGTAATCCTTTGAACTTAGTGGATTGGTCATTGTCTCGGCGTGGCTTCGTAGAGTATGTGTGCGCACCGAACTGCGATATCATTTTTTTGGTGTCCTTTACGTTTATACATTAGTTTCATACTTTACTGTTTTGCTGGTTTAATTTTAGATTTTCTGTCACAAAAAGTGTTACAGTAAAGTGTTACAACACTACTTGTGAAGTTCGATCACGTCTCTCATCTGGGGTGGCTTCAATCAAAACACTGCTTTGACGTGGGTCCCCCGTATTTGTACCTAATGAAATTACGTTGGATAACTTTTTTTTTTTTTTTTAAACTAAGAAGCTCTATAATATGATAAAGATCATATCACCAAAGTCTAACATTTTGTATTTTCTTTTTCGAGCTTGGCATGGAATTTAAACTCTACAATTCAAAATGACGTCAGGTACAAGTTTACGGTTCGTATGTATTGTTAATTTTGTTGGAGTCGAATATATTTTTAACTATGTTTGTAATCGTATTTACTTATTTAACTTTGTTAATGAAAATTTTCTATTCCACTCTTGGTCATATAACTCTCTATAAAGAAAACACACTCTTCTATCAAATCTTGTCACAAAAACAATAATAATAATAATAATAATGTCATAGCACACGTACAATTTTCATAGTTGGTAGGCTCAACGTTTAGTTCTCTAAGACTCGTTTATTTTATCGATTTAAATTTTTAATTTTAATTTTATTATTATTAAAAATTCTCATAAAAAGTTATATTTAATTTTTTACTACAGTTAAAAACTCTCCTATAAAATTATATATTAATTCAAATTAAAAATTCAAATAAAAAGTAATTTGATGTTGCAAATTGCAATACAATCACTGCCCTATATATGGCTGCTGGGGAAGAAAAGTCAAAGCTCAAGATTTATTTGCTCAAAAGACGAAAAGTTAATTGTTCTGGGGAAGGTGTCTTCATAGACATGGTTTTGGATTTTATCTAGTGAGCCGGGTGTCCATAAAAGGAATCTGGAATTATGTGCCCTCTTCACTGTATCAAAAATTTATAATGTGGTAGAAGCGTAACAAAAGTTTGTGTTGCTCTCTACGTTAAAACTTAAAGCTCACCAACAAATTAATAATGGAATGAATTCATGATCATGTAGCCAGATATCACAACCATCATTTTATAAGAAGACAAAACTCCACTGTGACTTTCAACAAATTTCTTTACCCAAGTTTAGATTCGATCGCGGAGAGAAAATTCTCGTGGGATATTTAGGTCTCATTCATTTCACCGATTCGAGTTTTCAATTTTAAGTTTCTACAATAAAAAGTTCTCAGAAAATATCACATCTAACTTTTTCTGCTAAGTGAAAAGCTATCAAAAAATGTCACATCTCAGCTCGAATTGAAAACTCAAATTCGCGAAGTGAACGATGCCTTAGTTCTTGAGTTCAGAATTATAATTCATGATTCTGATTTTTAAAATTTAATTTTTTTATGAGAAAAAAATATTATAAAGAACAAAAAACTATGATTCAGAATCAGAGATAAACTATTGAAACAAATTAGTTGTTGTTTTTTCTTTTTTTTGTCGTTTTAGGAGAACTCTTAATGACTTATTGTCGTTTTTCAAAGTTTTAGTGTATTTTTTTCTTAGAATTTTTAAGTAGCATACTCTGATAAACTTTTTTTATTAAATCATTAATTAAGTAATAAATAATGTATTGACCTATCTTCCTTAAAAAAATGATCATATATATATATATATATATTACTGATATCTGTCATGTTTAGAAGTTTCATCCTTTTGTTCAGTATAGTTAATTAAAAAAAACCATTAATTACCTTTATCTCAACTTAAAGCAATAATGCCGCCAAAAAAGAAAACAAAACCAAAAACAGAAACAAAAACAAAAAAGCATTTCATCATATATTGAGAGCGTTTGGAATTCGTTTTAAAATAATTTTATTTTGTGTATAAAAATAAAAATAAAAATATTTTTAATCTTAAACATAAATTATTTTTAAAAATGTGTTTGATAATTTTATCAAGATATTATTTTCAGTATAAAAAACTCATTAATGTCTCTTTCTTTCTCTCTGCTCAACAGAGGAGAAAACGAAAATAAAAAATAAAAAACGACTAAAAGTTGTTTTTCATTTTTTTCTCGTTTTACACTAAACTAAAAAATTATTTTTATTTATGTTTTTTATCTTTATTACGTCAAACGTCGTTTTAAAAACGTTTTTATTTTTATTTTTTTTAAAGTAAAATATAAAA